CGTGCCTTTCAAATAATATACGTACTTAGTGTTCTTTTTCCAGGATTTGGTTTTAAATGCTTCCGGCCCCTCGCTGTATGTACCATCCACAATCTTTTCAAGGGATCCAGACAAAACAGGCCATTCTGGGTCATGCGCATAAGAGTTCACATAATTGTTGAATTCAAAAGGCGCAATGCATGAGTCTCCATCGTCATTGCATAAACGTCTTCTCAGGACGTAAAGGTACTCACTCAGATGCTAGTTAACAAACAAAAGTAATATGTTATTAGAAAACGAAAGATATAAGCATTGTTTGTGTACGAAGAATGAAAGGTTAATGCAACTTACAGTATCCGCTACCCAAAAACCTGGAGTGATAAGGTCAGTCCAGAACGTTTTCACAAAATCCTGAATCTCCTTGTACTGGGCGAGGTAGCATTGTACAGGGCGGTCATCTTTAATTGCTTTTACGATGAAGCTCTTAAATTCCAAAAGATCTGCTTTAGTTGGCGGCTTAGATAAGAGCTCATCGGCTTTCTTTTTCTTCCTCCCGTCCGCTGTATAAGGAGACTTCAAACTGGATGACTTCTTTTTCACTCTCTAAAATAAAAAAATAAGTGAATTATTTCGGAATCTTAGACCACAATACGAAAGCACTTGAAGTAAGAAACCAAACCTTTCCATACACAATGCCATCAGTAATTTCAGCCTCTTCTCCCAATTCCTTCGGGGGAGAAACAACCTACAGTTAAATAGAGTGTAAATAAACATGCTCTAAATACTTTGAAGAACTTGACTGCATTTCGAATGCAATGACTCTAGAAAATTCGAATACATTTGAAAACTTCGACTATATTTCGAAGGCACTTGTAGGAAGATTTTTAATTTTACCATTTCCTGCAGAGGCTTCATTGAGGCAGCATCTTCTATTCCCATTGTCTCGTGGGTAGACTCAGCCTGCAGAGGTTTCATAGAAGCAGCAGCAGCGTCTGTTTCCATTACCTCATGGCAAGACTCAACCTGCAAAAAATTCGAATACATTTGAACACTATGACTATATTTCGAAGGCACTTGTAGTAAGATTTATTATTTTACCATTTCCTGCAGAGGCTTCATTGAGGTAGCATCTTCTGTTCCCATTGTCTCGTGGGTAGACTCAGCCTGCA